TGTCAAAGGTGCTTCAACCCTCCCCCCCGTCTGCCTATATACTTTCCATCTACAGTCTTTTGCCCCCTCCCACACACACATAGCTGACCTTTGCTCCTACTGCTGACCAAGCATGCCTGGCTTGGCTTTTTGTAGATAGCTGTTGATTGCATGAGGCTTTCTTCATCAGCACGCGAGGGAACTGGGACTAGTTTTGGGTAGCTGCAGCTTCACACCAAGATGCTATTTTGTGCCATGCTGCTGGGATGACTTCCAGGAGTGGCTACAACTTTGTGCTGTCGCTTAGGGGTTTCCTTCAGCCCCAAAGCCACGGCATACCAAGAAGCCCTGAGTCACAGTGTGGCAAGCAGCTGAAGAGCCATAAATTCTAAGGCTGCAAGGGAGCGTGCAGAACTGCCAAAGGGCAGAGATGGAAGGAAATAGTTAAGAGGAAATGAAGGGAGGCAATCTCTTACTGTGGGGGACTGAGAAACCAAGACTTCAGCCTGAAACAAATCAGGCCTGGAGTAGCTTGAATTGGGTGGGTCCTGGTCTAGCAATAGATGAAATTCAATTAATGACCATAATGGGAATTGCTGGAATTTCTATCACTAGGTGATATAAGTCATGTGATATCAAGCTTTATGACCAGTTTACTTGGTGATGGAAGTTCCAGTCTCATTACCATCATAACTCAAGGGCTATATCTATATCATCAATGACTGGATGAGATTTAAGATTTACAAATTAAATTTTATTTGATGTTTGTTTATAAAATTTTTAGTCCAGCTAATACACAGTTAAAAAGAACAAAGGCACCATGAGTAAAAACATATAAATAAATAAAAATACCCATATCTAACATGAGCTGAAGTTTTTTCGCTCTCCAAATTTGAAAATAACCAGGACATTAATTGTTCCTGAACATCATCAGAGTGGGAGTCTGGGGAAATATCAGGACAGGCATGATGACACAGAAGGTATAGGAGATGATCCAATGCAGAGCACACAAAATCCACTTTCTGAATATTTTGTTTGTTTATTTGCAAAGAAAAGCAAATTTCTTGATTTCATTTACAGACCAGTGGTGGGATTTAAATTTTTTTAATACCGTTTCTCTGTGTGGCTTGGTGGGCATGGCAGGGAAGGATACTGTAAAATCCCCATTCCCTCCCCACCCCACTAACCTGCTTTTCAGCTCTGTTCTCCTGTGCAGGGCAACCAAAGAAGACCCAGCCGATCAGCTGGGACTCAATGGAAGGCAGACAATAGATGGCAGGGGGCAGTCAGAGGTGGTATTTGCTGGTTCTCCAAACTACTCAAAATTTCCGCTACCAGTTCTCCAGAACTGGTCAGAACCTGCTGAATACCATCTCTGGTACAGACACTTGAAATAATGTGTTCAGTAATACATTAAGTGTGATTTCTTCCTTCTGCTTCTCCTCCTCATCCCTTTGCCTCAGTGATAAAGCAGTAAGAATGTGGCATTGATTTATTGGTATTTGCAGCAATGAATATAAGTCAGGTGTTTGTGTGCAAAGTCTTTAGCTTAATCTTGTGACTATTTAAGCATATGGCATCTCGACCACCCCTTAGCTTATTAGAGCAGAGCAAGAATGTTAATTACCCTGGCTGACATTCTATCTCAGGCTGACTTGGTTTGCTTTTTACATTGTCTGGGAAAGAATATCTGCCCTGAGAAAGACCTCTGTCTCATCACCTATAATGCATTTTCAATGGTCTTATCTGAACTCAACCCATAAATACTTCTGGTGTCTTGTCCCAGCCTTCCCTGGAAAAATAGACAAGCAATCAGTACTAACACTGCCTAGAATCCATCTTGGCTCACCAGCTATCCATGCTTTTTTCTTCTTCAAATTTTCTTTTTAAAGTCTGGAGAGCGTCATCCTTTTTTCTACCCAAACCAATAGCATCCCTTGTCCTGAAAGAATTTCTGTTTTGTAGAAAAGTGTGTTGCAGTTCTCTCCCAAACCTTGTTATCACTGAAGAACAACAGCTTGCCTATCTGGGAATTTTAGTGACAGGATAATAAAGTGCAATAGACTGCTATGTACCACCACAATCTTTAGCAAAGAAAACTTAAGAATCTCACTTAGAATTGTTCTTAACTAATAAAGCATTTCATAATACTGTAAGCATTTTACAAATTATAAATAGGATACTTCTGAAAGTCCTAATTGGTCTTTACTTTAAAGAGTAGAATTTTCAGGTTTGGCTGAATGTAGGCTCTGCTTTGCAATCTAATTCTAATATGCAATTTATGATGTTATATCACCAGATTTTGTAGCCCACTTACTTTCAGTTTTGCCCACAGAGGGCGGCTAGAATAAAGAATTAAGACGTTTATTAATTATGTGCATTGCATGCTGTCTTGCTTCAAAGGAGTTTTGACTGATTTGTACATTTTGATCATAGCAGTAAGTGTTAAGTATATTAGTCTGAGGTAGATTGATTTTCTTTTGAAACTATGAAGTTGTGGTATTTATTTATTTTACATATATGAATTTATATACTACTCTGCTCCCAAGATTCTATGATTTTACAGTAAAATTGAAATTACAATAGATATAAATTAGATATTAGTCCAAGAAAAACAGGACCAAAAATGGCTTACAATCATAGCAACAGTATTAAACGCCAATTGCTGACCAATGACTATAGCAAAACCATTATCTGAACTCTATGAAAAAAGTCAGGAGATAAGTATTAGAGAAAAGTATTCTAGAGCAAGGAAAAAAACCCCTTAAAGACTGCCTTATTGCGTATTTCTTTTAAGAATAAGAATGATGAGCATGTTTGCTTACACTGAAACAATAGACCTATTATTAAGAGAGACAAATTGTGCAAGGATATATAGGTCAAAATCAGCAGGCTTGCCTCATTCCTTTGCCAGCCTGGAACCAGTCTGATTTATTACGTTCTATCCAAATTGACTTCCCAACTTGTATATAGGTTTCAAATGAAGACAATGATATGCCATTATTAAGACAATTGATTTTTTTCCTATAATCAAAGAAACACACATTAACTTATTTTTGTATGCTTTATATTTCCCAGTTATCCATTGTACATCATTAGTAATGTCTTGTATTCCTCAGTCTTTTTAAAGCTGGCATGACCATCTGGCATCTCTCGTTTGTATTGGATGCTGCCATCCATTTATTGGCATGTAAAATAAAGCTATTGTATGTTAGCTAAACATGCTCTGTAAAGTCTTCTTTCTTTGATACTGAAATTTAGTTCTTTCACTCTAATGACTAGAGTGTGGTTATCCAGATTTGGTGAAATAGATTCATTAAAATCTTTGTTTATTCTTCTGTTGCCTTCATATTTCTATAGATATTCCATCAAGTTGTATAGTCCTTTTACTTGGTAATGACTGAGTGCTGATATAACTCCATCTTCTTTCCAAAAAGAACCTGGTTCACAATTTCAACTCACAACTTTTGCTTGAGGGACACCTAGCAGCAGTGTCCAAGAGTGCATTTCACAACTTCATCTTATGTACAAATAAACCATTCTTGTAAACAGGAACAGATATGATTCATTGTTAATCATATCTTAGACTAATTAGACTGTTACAATTCACACTAAATTGGACTCCCTTCAGAAGCTACAACTACTCCAGAGTGTGGTCATTTGAATAACTCTGGGTAAAAATCAAAACTATCATAATAACACTATTACTTAGCTTCCAAGGAGAATTCAAAGTGCTGATGATCACTCTTAGACTTAAAGCTCCTTATGGTTCAGAGTCTGGTTATCATCTTCTCCCATAACATCTTCTCCCCTTGGTAAGATCCAAAACTGTAGGTATTCTCATATCCTCTTAACTAAAGATTGCTATCTATAGGGAACAGAGAAACCTGTCCTTTTATTTCCTGTCTCCGTCCTCTGCAAAATTATATTTAAATGTCCCTTTGCCTTTTGATCTTCCAAAAAAGATATCTAAAGACAATTGTTCTCTCAAATATTGGAGAAGAATTGTTAGAAGTCTTCATCTGTATAATGAGGAGGGAGAAGGTTTTTAATTTTGGTTAAATCATTTTATTTACAATTATTTTATTGTGATTTATGGCTTTGTGATTTTATTAAATTATGTATTTTGTTTTTTAACTAAAATTACGGATTCAAGTAACTATATGCCATAAATTGAGTAGAAGAGCCTACAAATAGATATAATTATTAAATATTGGATTTCTGTGAAAAAACAGACGCAAATCTTGATATGTGATTTTGAAATAAATATAAGTTGTGGCATTACAAATGGCAAAATATAGCTTTTGCAAAAGTGACCTTTGCTGATTTTGAAAAGCTTAGCAGGGTTATATACTTGAAGAGACTAGAAAGTCAAAAACACACTCTGGGAGAAGACAGTGGCAAATAATTTCTGTTGATTCCCCCAAAACAGGATCAAGATTGGCAAAACATATAGAACTTTGATTACCATAGTAATCAAACTGACAAATCTTTCTTATTAAAGCTACCTAGAAGGGAAGACATATCCCTGAATCTTTAGTACCTTGGGAACTATTTATTTATTTCTTTAGTTTCAAAATGACCAATTCCATGATGATTCTGCATAGCTTACAATGTAAAACTAATTATAAGATGTAAAATATGAAATTTAAAGAAAAAACAGAAACACATCCTGAAGTAATAGCAATAGTGGTTAGACTTATATACCCCCTCTCTAAGCCAACAATCTGGGCCCTCATTTTACTCACTTTGGAAGGATGGAAGGCTGAGTCAACCTTGAGCCAGTGAGATTCGAATTGCCAAATTTCAGGCAGCCAGCAGTAGCAGAAGTAGCTTGTAGTACTGCACTCTAGCCACTGTGCCATCACGGCTACTTCATGCTGCAGAAATATTGGAAGGCTACAAATAACATTTCAAATAAATTTGAAAATTGTATAATTGTATAATTTTATAAATTGTATATATTCATATAAATTTGTTTTGCTTGTCAGTGATCTGTAATTGTTTTCTCTCTCCTTCAGTGGAATTTTTATACTGTGATTTGGCTTCTATGAAGTCCATTCATCAATTTGTTAAAGAGTTTAAGGCAAAGAATTTCCCACTTCATGTACTGATCAACAATGGTGAGTTTTTATTATTATCATTATTTATTTATTGGTATGAATGTTCATATATTCTATTCAAACCCATGATGTTCTTTCATTTATAACCCTAGCAGCATAATTATGTCACCAGTAGCAATATAACTGATTTTCTTGAACCTTTTTATATTAAAGCTCTTACGCAATCAGATATGGTGATTTTACCCATATTTTTTTGACATTTCTTAGACCTCCTCCCAAAGTGTGTTCTAAATTTTAGATAGAAAAAAAACACACATAAGAATAATTGTATCAGTTACGTTTAACTTATTTCAGATAATTAGTGTCGTGCATGTTTTTCTTAGAATTCACAATTGTATAGTATTTTTAAAAAGTTATACTGCTTTTGCAAATCTTCATTTTTTTGTTTACTTTTTTAGTTTTTGAGGTATCTAAATATTATTAGCTATAATGTATGCTAATGTAAAATTTTAAATTTATTTCAAAATGGAACATGAAATTATCTTAGCATTGTGATAAGAGAGGGTTTTATAAATCAATCATTGCAATCAATCATTGCAATCAATGATTTCCTTTAGTTAGAAAGTATCTAATAAAGTGAGCTGCAGGTCATGAAAGCTTCTGTTTTTTACTGAAATGTGTTAGTCGAAAAGGTGCTCTCAGACGACTCCTGAAATTACCTTGTGAGAAACTACTAACCCAAAGCATAATGATTGGAATACGGCCATCTTTGATTGATTGGTATTATAGTAACTCTAATCATGTATTTACTTTTCATACAGTGTGATCAGATATTGCATATAGTTTGTTCAAACATATATTCTAAATTATGCATTATGGAATGTCCCAGACAAACATGATTCATTGATTTAATTGTAGCAAATCAAGTTTGGCCATGTAATTAAACCTCAGAGCAATAAAATATTAAAATTCTCAAATATTTTTGAAGCATAATGCAGGTGAATTAAAGTGAAAAATATATATCATATAGGTTATATTTCAGGACTACATTGCCATATCTTTTTGTTTCTGATTTACTCAACATATGAATATTTAGTACTGTAGCATGAAAAATAATTTATTCTAACAAAATATGACTGCCCAAAAATGCAGTAGTTCTCAAATTAACAACTGTAATTTGAGCCCAAATTATGGTTGTAAATCATGCTGGTCATTAAGTAGACACCACATGGCCTTGCCTGGATTTACACATACTTTTGTGCAAGTTGTTAAGAGAACATGGCAGATATTAAGCAAATCCATTGTACCCGATAGGTATTTTTTGTCAGAAACTGGAACTAAACACTGGTTTCTGGCAAAAAAGTTATAAATCAGGATCACATGAAAGTAGCAACCTGAAAACAGCTGTAAATGAGAGCCTGTTTCCAGTCACCCAAAATATGATCACATAAGCTTATGTGGTCACTGGAATTTCAAAACCATGTTATAGTAGTTCTGGAAAGTTCCGTCATAATTTTGAATGGTCGTTAAGTGAATGGTCTGTGTTTTCAGGCTTGCATTTTGCTTCAAGAACCAACTTTATGCTGCTTTTTAAATAGTAATAAGAAAACAAAATAATATTGCATGATCTACTTTTTAAAATGAAAAGCCCTTCACTTTTATTGATTTTCTTTCCTCCTGTTTTAATAAAACAAATGGACATAGGCATTACTCCTCATATAATCTTTTTTTTTTGTTCTCTAAAGCTGTTACTACTGCCATTAAGATTAACAAAAGGACAAAACAAAACTTTGATCTTATTAATGAGTTCATTAAGGTGTAGTTTCTAGGACTTTGAATTTGTTCTTTCTAATGTTCTTCCTAAGGTAGAATTAGGCATTATGAGATTCAGATTAAATGTTTATATATTCTCCTTTGCTACATTTTGAACAACTTTCTTTCCTTCACAAATTCCAGTTTTACAACTGCCTCACTGGCAGTTCCCACTTTTTCGGGATTTTGGAAAGTGATTGTGTCTTTATGTACCATTTATATAGCACATGAAGGAAAGGGAATGCTGGGCTCCTTCCCTTTTGTTGTCCCCACCAATCATTCTCCTTATCAAGAGAAGGGCTACAGAAAACAAAACAAGTTTTAATAGCAAAACTTGGTCCTAAGCAAGAACTTAACAGTTGATTAGAGGTTGTAAAGATTATGTCATGAGGCTTGTCATTAATAGGGATAAATCAGTCAACCAACTATTAAATTAAGAAATTGTTTCTGTGAATCCTTAAACATATCTGTATTTACATACAGACCTCTGCTGTGTCTCTATATAATTTAAATTTCTAGATTTATATGTTTCCACATCTGTTCTTAATGCTGCTGGTGATTATTATTGTTCTGTTTATTAAATTATTGAAACATATATATATTTATATCATATAATCAATGGGCTGAGGATAAACTCCAACATGAGTCCCAAAGTTTGGAAGATTAAACTTCTGGTCCTAGTGACTGATTCCGATTGAATCCTGCCATATAATCCGTCATAAAATATACTTTGTCTCTTTGATTGAAGTCCATAGATTCATTACTTTATATTTGTTTTCTAATAATGTCAATTAGTCTAGAATGAAATATAATTTGTTTTGATTGGAAGTAACTCTTCTGCTAGTAAAATTTGATTTCTTCATTTTTTCTTCTTTTGTTGCACCTACATACACTAATACTTAAGCTTTTAGTTTGTTCAAATGTATTTCTCCATTTTAATTCTGATAGTAAATTGTGCTTTAGATTCATGGTTTTTGGAAAAGCCTGGACCAATTTATCAATAATTTCTGAATTTTAGAAAACTATGAATAAGAATAAAATTAATTTTAACTTTAACTCTACTCATTCAATTCTCTACAGTTAATCTCACCAATAATACTATAATTTATGATATTGGGTATTTTTTATGACATTCCAAAATGGTTTCAATATATTTTGGAAAGTAATGGCAGACTGAAGATAGAAAGCTAATACTTACAACAACAACAACAACAACAACAACAACAACAACAACAACAACCAGTTAACAGATCGGCTCCTTGGACACAGGATTCTCCCACTTCCTCACTTAATTATCTTTTGAAGTTGCTGATTTTCTGGATATTAAGGCAAGTTCCATCCTACCATAAAAATGTCCTTCTAGAGGAAAGAAGCTTTATGTAAATTGAAGGATTAAAAAAGTAAACTTTAATATTTGGAAAACAGCAAAAGGGGGATTAGAATGTTGATTTTAGAATTTTATTGGATTAGTTGAATTTGAAATAATATTTCCTCCAGGGCATTGAAAACTTTACAGAAGAATGTATGAAAATTCTGAAATTAACAAAAATGCCCATCAGAAAGTTTTGCTGATTGGAAAATAAATATATGATAATAAAGGAGCTTGAAAGTGGACTTGAGGGAAACAGAGAGAATTAAAGATTACAATTAGAGGACAAGAGACCCATTAATAGGATGGAGCTATCTTATTTGACGATATAACAAATTAAGGCTGTTTGGAAACTTGTTTGATAACAAAAAAATGGATCTAACATAGAATATAGAAAAGAACAGATCTTACTGGATGAAAGACTCAGGCTGATTTAAGTGTGGATTTGGATTTTTTAAAAATGCCAGACTACAAAAACGATATGGAAAAAGATGCTGTGGATCTGAAAATGGATTTTAAAATGCCAGATTACAGGAATCGTATGGAAAAGGATGTACCAATGAATTTGCATTTGAGACCAGCTAATATCATAAAAATAAAAGGAACACACAAATAAGAAATAAAAATAATGGTCTGCACAGTTTCTCTATTTTGGATTTACAAAAGGAATGTATAAAACCAGTGAAGATGATCCTGAAAGGAGATAAAGAGAAATTTATAGGGAATCAACCTGTGGGACATTTCCTAAGAGGATTAAAGATAAAGTTTTTTTTTTTAAAGTAAATAGAAGTCAATGTAATTTGACCATGGCTAAAATATATTTGTTTGATTTCTGGTAGCTATTAGTGGGATACCTTTTTTGATCAGGACTGAATGACAAGGCATTACAGATCTGTTTATAAGTGGGGAGAAGATTTTTGTTTTTGCTTTATTTCTTAGTAAAAGTGATAGGTTAAAATATTCATGTTACTATTTTTGGTAACTCTTAGTAGGCTTTTGTTGATTGAGTCTGAATGATGAGTTTTTACAATTTGATTATTAATAAGGAATGAGATCTGGAAATAAGAACTTTTTTTTAAATTAAAGTACTAGTTAAGTTACTGAACTTGTTTATACTTGTCTGGAAGGAGGGGACATCATCTTTTATAGATCTTTTTTCTTTCTTTTCTTTATTTTTCCTACCTTTGTGCACTTCTCTTTTTCTTTGCTTTTTATATTTTCCTTAGTTTGTATTAGTCTTGTCTTTGTACTTATATAATCTAATGAAATTATTATATTATTAAAAAGAATATTTCTTCCTTTAGAAATTAGACTGCATTGTTTGAAAAACTGAATACAGTTAAATTAATATAGAATTGATTTAAAGTAATGCACGTACAATACCCAAATTAAAAAGCTTTGCTTTTTTAAGGCAATGCCTTATCTATTTTGGGCTTTAGTGGGGGAAGAATAACCAAGCCTGCTAGATCTTTCAGCAGTCCATGATCCCATCAACATGTATCCTTCTGGATCACCTATGAGGATTGGGAATTGGGTGTACTATTTTTAGATGATTGTGTTGTTTCCTAGGGGGGGGGTTCCGGAGAGTGTGTGGGGGGGGGGGGGTGTCTCAGTATCTCCCCATTTTTTTTTAAATACCTCAACGAAGGAGGGAGATCCTCCAACATTTTGGCCTTCAATATCATAATATGTTGAGTATCATTTTGGCCTTCAGTATCATAATACATCACTACACTTGACTGTTCAAGAAATGTGAAATTTGTGAGCCAACACCTGGAGGTTGTAAGGACCTGGATAGAGAGAATCAGGCTGAGACTCAATCCTAGCAAAATGGAATGGTTGTAATTTCAGAAACTAATTGGTTCTGGATAATGGCTCT